TTTTAATGCATAGATCGCGCGATTTGATATAAAACAAAAGCGAGAGGATACTTCGCCAAGGTCATTAGTCATACCCAAAATTCATCGGCTTGTCGATCGGCCAACTTTGAAACCATAAACCATTCCGTAAGGCCAATCAGTTGATAGAGCGAGCCTATCATCTCGCGCAGCGGGGTGCATGTTTTAACGATATAAACAATGACACAAGTCTTTCTTTTTAAGACACTTGGGCATGTCTCTCTTCATAATTCCCACTCACCTGTACTCTTACTGATTGTAATATGTGAAAGGGCGTAAATTTATAATCGGGTCTTAAAAGATGCCCTTTCTTAGATAATACATCGGGATAAGGAGCTTGACTTAAGTGAAATTGATTTTCATTAAAGTGTACATGAAACTACGTCCCGGCAAAACAAGGGTCAATGTACGTAAGCGTTTCTTCAGCAATAGAGTGGTTACAGCGTGGAATGTTCTTCCCGAAGAGGTTTTCCTCTCCACCGGTGTGATCACCTTTAAGACCAAACTGGAAATGCACCAAACATTTGATTCACCAGTGTAAATCTGACTCACGAGGGAGAGTACTGCACATGCTTATTGCGCATCCACATTACACACTTATTATACTACTCGTTTTAAGCCAGTAGTCATATTTTATTACTATTTAGACTGCACCAGCTGTTCGCTCTTCGCTTGCAAGCATGTATCACGTAAAGTGATAGTGAAATAACTTCCTTCCCTGTTTTATTACAGGAGTTAAAGTCCAAGTTTCAGGAATCCAGGGAAGCCCTATTCCCAAAGAAAAAGTTTGCGTTTGGTGCAAAAGCTGCGAGAGCCAACCGAAAGACTCCAACCATGGATAATGGCCACAAATCCACTGTGACCACTGAAAAAGTTAACTTGGAACAGCAACAGCACCGACTGAAGCTCTCCGAGCCTCCACCCAAATACAGTTTCTCCGACCTCGCAGACCGTCCTGACTTGCGGCTGCCAGCCCGTGGCGAGCCCGAGGAAGCCCTGCTGGGTCAGTCCATCTACCTCTCCAATCTGGAGCACTGCGTGATCTACATTGAGGGCGTCGCCGGCAAC